TAACTCTTCAAAAACTTTAACTTAGTTATCTACATGTATGTCAGATGCAGCATCTAAAGCAAGTATGGTGAGCATAGGGCTTTTTATCACTTTGGAATGACAACCTCCTAAAGATCTGTTCCATCATAATATTGCACAGCATCAGAAGGTTCTTGGGAAGCAATACCCAATCTTTTCCCTGGTTGTTTGTTCATTTGATGGGTCAAACCAAGCATCTGAATCTAATCTGGATGTGCATACGTGATGCATTATCAATGCAAGATTCAGGTAGGACTTGCAATCCTTGGTCAGACTTTCTCCTGAGATTTGTAACTGAGATTCTGAAGTCAAATGACCCCACCAAGGTGCGGTAGGCTATAAATTCCAACAGTACCCGCATTGTTATTCTTTACAGGATACACGATACGATACACGGACGATATACGATAGGATACACACATGATACGATAGGATACACGCATGACAGGACATGATAGATTTGTCAAGAATAACGATGCGGGTACTGTATCAGCTAAACAGACAGATGCTGGGAGTCTTTTTCTTCTGTCTACACTACCTTGACTTTACTTAAGTAAAGCTAAAACGACAAAGAAGTACAATAATGTTCTTACATTGAGACCGTATCTGAAGATGCTAAGCCATTTGATCCACCTCAGCCATTCCGCAATAGAGGATATGTTGATCAGAAGACCACTGAACACCTGAAAATCCAATCCATATTTACACATTCATTGTTTGATTGTTTGCAGTTGCATTAATTAAAACGAAGCCCTTAGGTCACACTGTTTAGTCGTTTATCCTGTTTATCAGAAAATTGACCCCGTTACCCTACCCATCTACTTGTGCTATGAATTGAACATTCTTCAATTTTAGCTGAAGATGTTTGCCTAATTTTTGATCTTACAAATCAAAATCATGCTGTTCTTAAAAAGATTTTTATCTTTCATCATCTACTGTGGCTGCAAAAGAAACACAGCACAAGATAATGTTTTATTTATACACTTACCATCATAAAAACATAGCACAAGGCAATACACAAGTTGGCAATGGCGAAAATCTTAACCAGGGCACTGAAGAAGAAAGCCAAACCAGAGGCTGCCATGGCAACAGCAAACAGACTGAGGGTGTAGATGAAGAACTTGTCCACTTCTGCTGTGAAACCTGAAGGTCAAGATTGGTGTAAGATAAAATGTGTCTCAAATTTCATTCATTCAGTATGTTTTCATTGGTTAAGTACATAGAGATTTTTTCTGTATAGGGTATGAAAGCCAATCACAAGGAAAAATATAAATCTTACCAATCATGAATATATAAAAATGTTTGATAAAATTACTCATCAATCATGAGGTATTTAACAGCAAAAAAACTCACCAATCATAAAATATGTAACAGCAGAAAAAATGACAACAGGGAACAACCTCATAGGAATGACATCACAGAATATCTTGGAGAAGAAGTAGGCCGACACACGGTAAAATCCACTCACGTTCTCATGCCTAGTAAACCAGAAAACCTAATTATAACTGCTGGTCTAAAGTGTTCATTTACATGACTGAAGTATACACTGATTCAAAAAATGGCTTGTTTAAAACATACACTGTATTTATTGCATAATTCATAGAAAATATCTGAAATTATGTTTCAGCTCCCAATATCTATATTGAGAAATGTATGTTGTATTGTTATGACATAATTATACTGCTTACATAAATATAGCCCTCTCCTTGATAAATAATTCTACTGCAGATAAATTTCCAAACACTTGGTTCATCACAATGAAAAAGAAAGCACCAACTCTGCAAAGAAAAAAAAATATAATTAAAAATTTTTAAAAAATATTCAATTACTTGTAAATGTTGGAACATGCTGGTAAATATACATGCCCTGCAACAGAAAAACAACAGACTTTCATTTAAGCTTGAAGTTACAAATTGAACTAATCATCAGCTCAAAATGGATTTCGGGAGATACAAAATGTGCTTGAGTGTATTGGTAGTGGGTTAGTTTTTCCTTGTGAGTGTAATTTGCATCAACTGCTACCTTAATTGATTTACAGATATGCTGTTTTTGAGGGGATGTCCCGCTCTACAGTGCCCTTGTTGTTAGTATTTTAAACACACAAACAAGAGGGCCATGGACCACAACACTCACCTGAAGAGTTTTGACCCTGTTCTTCACCAGGCTTTTCCCCCTTGCAATACCTATTGTGGCTCCAACCTACTCTAAGGGGTCATGTTTTGTTGTACATGTACTAGATTAAGCCTACTTGTAATGTATATACACCTGTTCTGGTTACCAGGTTAACCTGAGCTATATAAACATACCTGTTCTGAATCCCTGCTTTACAGTCATTTTCTATTTGCCAGTAGATCCCTCCAACTATGGCAGCAAAAATTAGGATCACAAACAGCTAACATAGAAAAAACAAGAGGCCCATGGGCCACATCGCTCACCTGAGCACTAAGGGTAGGAAAAAGTACAAAATGGCTTTTTATTGTAAAATTTAAATCCAAAAGTAGTCCCATGACCAATCATGGATTTGCTATTTTTTAGAAAATGATTTTTTAAAAGAATTTTCCTATATATATCTTAAAAAACTTTGGTCGGCCATTTTGGCCCCGCCCTACCCCTGGGGATCATGATTTGAAAAAATTTGAGTCTACACTACTTGAGCATGCTTCCATATAAATATGATGAATTATGGCTTTGTCATTCTTGAGAAGAAGATTTTTAAAGAATTTTCCTATATATTTCTATATAAAACTTTGGTCGGCCATTTTGGCCCCGCCCTACCCCCTGGGGGTCATGATTTGAACAAACTTGAATCTTCACTACTTGAACATGCTTCCATATGAATATGATGAATTATGGCTTTGTCATTCTTGAGAAGAAGATTTTTAAAGAATTTTCCTATATATTTCTATGTAAAACTTTGGTCGGTCATTTTGGCCCCGCCCTACCCCCTGGGGGTCATGATTTGAACAAACTTGAATCTTCACTACCTGAACATGCTTCCATATGAATATGATGAATTATGGCTTTGTCATTCTTGAGAAGAAGATTTTTAAAGAATTTTCCTATATATTTCTATGTAAAACTTTGGTCGGCCATTTTGGCCCCGTCCTACCCCCGGGGGTCATGATTTGAACAAACTTGAATCTACTCTACCTGAGCATGCTTCCATATAAATATGATGAATTATGGCTTTGTCATTCTTGAGAAGAAGATTTTTAAAGAATTTTCCTATATATTTCTATGTAAAACTTTGGTCGGCCATTTTTGGCCCCGTCCTACCCCCGGGGGTCATGATTTGAACAAACTTGAATCTACACTACCTGAGCATGCTTCCATATAAATATGATGAATTATGGCTTTGTCATTCTTGAGAAGAAGATTTTTAAAGAATTTTCCTATATATTTCTATGTAAAACTTTGGTCGGCCATTTTGGCCCCGCCCTACCCCCGGGGGTCATGATTTGAACAAACTTGAATCTACACTACCTGAGGCTGTTTCCCCATAAGTTTCATCTTTCCTGGCACAGTGGTTCTTGAGAAGAAGATTTTTTAAATATGCCACCAAATTTTCATTAATTCCCAATTATCTCCCCTTGAATGAGGGCGTGGCCCTTCATTTGAACAAACCTGAATCCCCTTCACCCAAGGATACTTTGTGGCAAATTTGGTTGAAATTGGCCCAGCGGTTCTTGAGAAGAAGTTGAAAATGTGAAAAGTTTACAGACAGACGGACAGCTAGACAGACGGACGCCGGACAAAATGTGATCAGAAAAGCTCACTTGAGCTTTCAGCTCAGGTGAGCTAAAAACTTAATAATTATTCAATGAAAGGAATATGTATATATAGTCATAAAGCAAATCATCTTTCTAATTTTTTTATAATTTACATTTGCTTTTGCCCTAATGTAGTAAGGAACAAGGGTCCAAAATAATATAACCAGTTGTATTAAAGAGCTAGGGTTTTTTAATCTATTTTTGTGTGTACTGCAAAAAAAAATTTGGATATCTAAGGTCAATTCTTACAGGGGGAGGGGAATGTTTGAATGTTACCCATGAACAGATAAATTATTGCTTGCCCACCGACAATACATTGATCTCCAAGAATAAGAATGATTCCATTGCCATATTTACCTGCATGATGGAGGTCTGGGGATTCCTGGCTATATTCTTAACAGTTCTTCCTGAGCAGATCAAAAGCTGAAAGAGAATGGTTTGTAAATGGGTTGTTTCTGTGATTGGAATCATGGAACTAAGGTACTGGATAACATGTATAATCAAAGAATTCTATGATCCCCTTCCTAATAATCATACCCGTAACTAAGCTAAGTTGATGATTCTTTCTAATAATCATGGCTAAGGTAATAACTGATAATCATGGCTAAGGTAAGAACTGATAATCATGGCTAAGGGAAGTTTAATGTAAAAGAAACAAAGATGCACATTGCAGGTGGTTGCAGTATAATACTTCTTGCTTATGTAAATGGTGACTGTTAGGTTTATAAACCCTCTGCTCACTCATATGAAATTTTTCTTTAACTTTTATGATTTCCAAAGCAAATGTATATGCTGAATAAAATACAAACAATTATAGCATGGCTTACGGGGCAAAATTTGACAAATTCAAAGGCACTTAAACTTGTCTAATTTATAAAGGAATATTAGACATTTGTGTCATTAAGAGTTATCTCTCTTATCAGAGTATCAATGTACCTTAAGAAGAGTAACAGTTGAAATTGTTATTCCAGAGAAAACCTATGTCAACTGACAAGTGAGCATCCATTGACAATGGTTTTCTTTGGGGTGTCAATTTCAACTGTTACCAACCTAAATATTTATTTTATAATGCTGAATGTCCTTTTGATTTAGCAAAATAATTCAGAGATTGTCAAGTTCATATTTTAGAAAGCTTTCGAACTCCCTATTTCTCTTTTTCTAAATAAAAAAGCTTTGTCGGAGATTTATCAGCCTCTTAAGTGTTTGTCTGATACTCATATAGTCCTTTATCATCTCAAGTTTTATTATCTAAGTCTGTAGTTTAAAAAAAATTCCTTTCTAGGTGCAACAATTCACCTTTCAAATGAAAAGGTGTTGCACTATAAAAATACCACCTCTGAGTCAGTTCTTATATATGTGTAAATCATGACACGTATTAGTTAGAGTGAGAGATTTTGTGTATATTTTGACACGTTTTACCACCCCACTTTTAAGCTGGAGTAAGAGGTAATCTTAAGCTTACCTGTGTAAAGAATGATGTGTTGTATTCTACAGGTGGCAGTGATACCAACTCTTTCTTTGTTAATTTGGACTGATATTCATCAAAGATAGCCTTCACCTCACTTTGAACTCTGCAATACACAACATGAACCTTAATTACATAACATGCATTATCAAAACTGAACATTCTTATAAAATTTCTATTGATTTAGAGGCAGTGAACCAATACTGCAGTGCTTAAAATTTGTTGAGAACTTACTTTGCGTTGACATTTGATTGTCTGAATTTCTGTACAAGAGCACCATGAACATCCTCCTCATCTGTAACATAATATTGGTAAAGTGGTATTGTATTCATATAAAGGTTAACATAAGAATGGTAAAGTGGTATTGTATTCAAATAAAGGTTAACATAAGAATGGTAAAGTGGTATTGCATGCATGTAAAGGTTAACATAAGAATGGTAAAGTGGTATTGCATTCATATAAAGGTTAACATAAGAATGGTAAAGTGGTATTGTATTCATATAAAGGTTAATATGAAAATGGTAAAGTGGTATTGCAGTTATAAAAAGGTTAACATAAGAATGGTAAAGTGGTATTGCAGTTATAAAAAGGTTAACATAAGAATGGTAAAGTGGTATTGTATTCATACAAAGGTTAACATAAGAATGGTAAAGTGGTATTGCATTCATATCAAGGTTAACATAAGAATGGTAAAGTGGTACTGTATTCATATAAAGGTTAATATGAAAATGGTAAAATGGGCATTCATATAAAGGTTAACATAAAAATGGTTAAGTGGTATTGCATTCATATAAAGATTAACATAAGAGTGGTTAAGTGGTATTGCATTCATATTAAGGTTAAAATAAGAGTGGTTAAGTGGTATTGCATTCATATAAAGGTTAACATGAGAATGGTAAAATGGTTTTGCATTCATATAAAGTGTTAACATAATAATGGTTAAGTGGTATTGCATTCATATAGAGGTTAACATAAGAATGGTAAAGTAATATTGCATTCATATAAAGGTTAACATACGAATGGTAAAGTGGTATTGCATTCACATGACACTGGAAATAAGAATAGTTATGATGAAATAATAATACATTCATGTGAAGGCTAACATAAGAATGGTTGAGTGTTACTGCATTCACATAAGAGTTAGCATAAAATTGTAGAGTGTTTTTGCATAATTATATAAAAATTAACATAAGAATGGTGGAGTGTTATTGCATTCACTTAAAAGTTAGTATAAGAGTGATATTGTATTCACATACATGCATTGTAAAGGTTAATTTACAAATGTTGAAGGTGTTATTGCAGTCATAAAAAAAGTTAACAAAAGAATAGTGGAGTTTAATTGCATTAATTGCTTTAGCCATTTTCTTGGTAAGATTTATTGAAATCAGACCAAAAATGTAGGAGGAGTAGCTTATTGAAAGAAATTTCTATATATAATAACCATGGCAGCATTGTTCACTGAAATCAAAATCAATAAATAGAATTTATAATGTATCTTTGTGTAGTCTACTTACATGCCAAGTAATATTAAAATCAGACCAAAACTGGAGTAGATTCTAAAAGTTTTTTTAATGACAGACAGATGAGCAGACAATGGACACCTTACTATCACATAAGCTCCTCTGGTCTTTGACCAGTGGAGCTAAAAATAAACAAAAGTATCATCAGTGATCAGTTGCCATATAAATACAAATGAAAACTGAAGAACAAGGGATAATAAGGTGAGGAAAGACAAACAGAGCAGGGGAGCACAGTCAATGTAAACAATGAGTTCATGCCTTAACAGTTTATTACAACAAAATGACCCATATCCATTTAACATGAATAATGAATGAAAAAACAAACACAGTTGATGGTGTTGGACATGGAAGGGGGGCCTTTCAGTGGGAATTGTGAGTGAAATGGGTTTAAAATTCAGGGAGTGTTATCCAGGAACACAAAATGAGTTACCTAATTTTTTTCCTGAAATTATTAATCAATCATTGAAATATCAAGAGTTAATTAAAAAAAATTGACAACCCCTGTTACTTTGACAAAGTGTAGCTTGATTAAGTGCATCACTTCAATCAGGGTAAATATGCTTAGTTAGAATACATGTTTGATACTGAATCATTAATGAATGAATTCCATTAATTGCGAGGATTAAATATAAAGGTTGATCCATCCCATTATTTTCTGTCTTTGTGATGAGGCTGCTTATACCTGTGGAAGTTTTCTCTGGATCTAAGGTGTCCACATCCACATTGAAGTCTCCACTGATAACATCAAGGAAGAAATCCGGTGGGTTATTATGTTCCTGTATTGTGTAACCTGAATAAAGACAAGATTAATTGGTATATGTTATTAACATAGTTAAACAACAGTATTTATTAATTTTTTTATTTAAATCTCAGCAATCAGTATACTGTAAATCACTTAATTTTTGTGATACCTTACCGTATAAGTGGAAATTTCAGCAAGATGCAAAGTCAACGCTTTGTCCTTAAAAAGTGGTATTTTATTTTAAGCGAGAAGTAATTTTAGCAATTTTAAAATGCTCACTAAAGAAGCTACTACAAATATAAAGCGCTATTAATTTTAAGCGATATTCAATTTAAGCGATCTTGGCACCATCGCTAATAATACCAAAATTAAATCCTCGCTAAAAATTCTGCTTCACGAGATAGTCATTGTCCCTTTATTAGCAAGACAAAATTTTCAAGAATTGTGGTTATTGTTCTATATAATCAAACAAGAGCACAGTTTATCAAATTAGGGTTCTAACCCTAACCCTACACTTCTGTAGACAGTCTCACCTATAGAGTGGAAGTAGTCCAGGGAGTCCTTAGTCGGGCCGTGATACACAACCTCTCCCAGGGATAGCATCATGAGGGTGTCAAAAAGTCTGTATATAGAGTAGCGGGGCTGGTGTATAGAGAAGATAATGGTTCTACCCTTCAATGCCAACCTGTATAACAAAAACAACATGTATATAGAGTAGCGGGGCTGGTGTATAGAGAAGATAATAGTCCTACCCTTCAATGCCAACCTGTATAACAAAAACAACATGTAGATAGAGTAACGGAGCTGGTTTCTAGAGAATATAATTTTCTGACCCTTCAAGGCCAACCTGAAAAATGTAATAAAATATGTACATAAGCTGTCATTACCTCTTTTAAATCCTACTTTTTCTCCTACAAAACTGCTCTACTTTGACAAGAAACAATTAAATCTACTGAAAGAATCCAAAGGTTAACATTGCTTTAAATAGGCAAGATTTGGAATACTTAATATGTTGAAAAGAAAAGTTTTATGAGGGAGTAGCTTTGAAGATGGATGCCTGTGTCAGATTTTGACAGCTTATCAAAATATAAACTTTGTAACTTTTGAAAAACCTGTCTAACCTGGACATCATAGATTGGAAAGAAACGAGACAAACTAGACAACATTTAGGTTCAAGAATGGATATTCCAGACAATTAAATTTACTTTTAATGATGGAATCAGCCATGTTTTTACCTTCTCTATATCAACATGACAGAATTGTCTGTGTTGGTGTGTTTTTGATTTTACCTTCTCAATAACAACTTGACAGAATCGGCTGTGATTTTACCTTCTCAATAACAACTTGACAGAATTGGCAGTGATTTTACCTTCTCAATAACAACATGACAGAATTGGCTGTGATTTTACCTTCTCAATAACAACTTGACAGAATTGGCTGTGATTTTACCTTCTCAATAACAAATTGACAGAATTGGCAGTGATTTTACCTTCTCAATAACAACATGACAGAATTGGCTGTGATTTTACCTTCTCAATAACAACATGACAGAATTGGCTGTGATTTTACCTTCTCAGTAACAACTTGACAGAATTGGCTGTGATTTTACCTTCTCAATAACAACTTGACAGAATTGGCTGTGATTTTACCTTCTCAATAACAACATGACAGAATTGGCTGTGATTTTACCTTCTCAATAACAACTTGACAGAATTGGCTGTGATTTTACCTTCTCAATAACAACATGACAGAATTGGCTGTGATTTTACCTTCTCAATAACAACATGACAGAATTGGCAGTGATTTTACCTTCTCAATAACAACATGACAGAATTGGCAGTGATTTTACCTTCTCAATAACAACATGACAGAATTGGCAGTGTTGGCGTCTAACCCAGTGGTTGGTTCGTCAAGGAACAGGACAGGAGGGGAGATAATTAGCTCCATTCCAATGTTGGTCCTCTTCCTTTCTCCTCCTGACACTCCACGTATAAACTCATTTCCTACCTGTCGACATTTAATATATTGTCAGCATCAAATTTGAATACATCATATTCACATTTATTATCATTACAGAAATCAGAGTTGTCCCTAAGAACTGAAATAGAAGGAGGATTAAAAAACATAGAAGGGGTTATGGGGTTTGTACCTTAACATGAGGTTGAGGGGAAATACCAAAATAACCTGCACTTGGTAATTATAGACAAGAGAAATTCCACCCACCCTTGTCCTAGGGACAACCCTGCTATTTTAGCAAAAAAAAATTACTGGTGAATGAAGAGATTACTTCAAAGTATTTTAATTAATAGTCATTCAAAAATTATATAGCAGAAACTCACCTTTGTGTCTGCACAGTGGGAGAGGCCCAGTTCTTGTATTACTGTATTCACTCGCTCATCCCTCTCTGCCTTTGTCAAGTTTGATGGCAAACGAAGGGCTGCCGAGAATTGGAAATTTTCCCGGACTGTTAATGTTCCCATGACAACATCATCCTATTTTACGGCAGAAAAACAAAACATTATCCATTATCATTGAATTCTGATGCAGTATTTTTCACTATTATAATTGTTTGAAATTGTATAAAAGATATCCCCCAACATTTTATAAAGAGCCCTTGAATATATCATTTTATGCAATAACATGACTTAGGAGGAAAAAACCCAATAATGAATAATAAAAAAACTCACTTGTACAACATATCCAACCATGCATTTAAAATTTTCAGGGGGAGGAACTCCATCAAACAGAATCTCTCCTTGGAGTCCGCTGGGGTCCTTCCTACCGGCCAACACATCCAGAAGTCTGTAGGAAAAAAATCATTATTCTCTCACCTTGATGTTAGATCATAAGAGAATATTTAACTAGTATGTTTCTGCCACTACTTATACATTGCTCATTTTCTTATTTATTTAAAAATGTTCCTTCAATTACAGTTTTAATAGATTTAATTATTGTGCAGATTGAAAGACGAGACATTAATCTTTACACAATTTTACTTTTTTTAATTGAATTCTGATTCACTTCTCTATCTCTTATTCATTTGATATAGGAACTAGATAAAAGCATCTCTGCATAATTTCCAATTAATTTAAAATTTTGGACATGTTAGATATTCCTGTACCTAGTGACTGGAGAAAAGTTCATGTATACATTCATAATTAAAACCCAATACATGTACTATAATTAAACCAAGGCTCATGTATACATTAATAAAACCCAATACATGTACTTTAAGTATACCAAGGTTTGTATATATACTTACGAGGACTTTCCACTTCCTGTTGGACCCAATATGGCATTCATTCCAGGTTTGAATATACAACTACAATGTACAACAGCAGTAATAAAATACATGTTAATATGTTTCACCAGTGCTCAATGAACAGTTATTATCTTAAAAAGTTTTAATATATCCAGTGTTTTTGTTGCAGTTTCACTGTTTGTAAACATTCCTCTAATTGGATGTATGCATAAAATGGGGATAAATGAAGAAATGAAAAAAGAGAGCAATAGCTCATCCAATAATTTTCTAATCTAATTATTGCAGGAAGCATTAAGTGCTTTGATGCATATCAGATTTAGGTGACCAACCTAGCAGTAAAACATTTTACAGACAGCTATACTTTAGCTACTAAATGTTACATTTTGAATAAAAATTTATCAGTAAAAATTTATTTTTGCAATAAAAGAATTTATTTCAAGCAAAAATGTCTAAGAAAATTTACATTTAATTTGCTTAAATATAGGAATTCAAATTTTCATAATCTGAAAGACCAAGGAGGCCATCTTGAATTGAGATTATAGCAAAAGTTTAAATTAATTTAATTTTGTGGTTGTATTATTGAGCGGCAAATTTGAACTCATAAAAAGCAGCACAATTTTACATCCACAGTTGTTTAATTATTTTAAATTTAAATTATAAGGAATGACTCTAATTCTTGGCCAAATTATTTGAGCATAACCTGGTCTGGGTCAGTTTACGCTTTTTTATAATCCGCTTTGCAAATTACAAAGCGTAAACTGACCCAAACCAGATTATATCAAATAATTTGGCCAAGAATTAGAGTCTATCCTTAAATAATTATGCTAGTTTTTCATACAGAGCAGCTAGGTTAGCCTGGTGGGCTGGTTAATTATCTATTTTGTTAATAATTCTTACACATTATCTTCTTAATAACCACTAACTCTAAGAATCAGACTGTTTCAAAGTGACCTAATTAGAGGAAGACTTACTCCCCTCCCTTAAGGATGTGTTTCTGTGTGACCTGATTAGAGGAAGACTTACTCCATTCCCTTAAGGATGTGTTTCTGTGTGACCTGATTATGTGACCTGCTTAGAGGAAGACTTACTCCACTCCCTTAAGGATCTGTTTCTGTGTGATTAGAGGAAGACTAACTCCACTCCCTTAAGGATCTGTTTCTGTGTGATTAGAGGAAGACTTACTCCACTCCATTACGGATCTGTTTCTGTGTGATTAGAGAAAGACTTACTCCACTCCCTTAAGGATCTGTTTCTGTGTGATTAGAGGAAGACTTATTCCACTCCATTACGGATCTGTTTCTGTGTGATTAGAGGAAGTCTTATTCTACTCCCTTAAGGCTCTGTTTCTGTTTGACCTATTTGGAGGAAGACTTACTCCACTCCATTAAGGATCTGTTTCTGTGTGATTAGAGGAAGTCTTATTCTACTCCCTTAAGGCTCTGTTTCTGTTTGACCTAATTGGAGGAAGACTTACTCCACTCCATTAAGGATCTGTTTCTGTGTGATTAGAGGAAGACTTACTCCACTCCCTTAAGGATCTGTTTCTGTGTGATTAGAAAAAGTCTTACTCCACTCAATTACGGATCTGTTTCTGTGTGATTAGAGGAAGTCTTACTCTACTCCATTAAGGATCTGTTTCTGTGTGATTAGAGAAAGACTTACTCCACTCCCTTAAGGCTCTGTTTCTATTTGACCTAATTGGAGGAAGACTTACTCCACTCCATTAAGGATATGTTTCTGTGTGAGTAGAGGAAGACTTACTCCACTCCCTTAAGGATCTGTTTCTGTGTGATTAGAGGAAGACTTATTCCACTCCCTTAAGGATCTGTTCATGTGTGACCTAATTAGAGGAAGACTTACTCCACTCCCTTTGGGATCTGTTTCTGTGTGAGCTAATTATGTGAACCTGATTAGAGGAAGAGTTACTCCACTTCCTTAAGGATCTGTTTCTGTGTGATTAGAGGAAGACTTACTCCACTCCCTTAAAAATGTTTTTCTGTGTGACCTGATTAAAGGAAGACTTATTCCACTCCATTATAGATCTGTTTCTGTGTGATTAGAGAAAGACTTACTCCACTCCCTTAAGGATCTGTTCCTGTGTGACCTAATTAGAGGAAGACTTACTCCACTCCCTTAAGGCTCTGTTTCTGTGTGACCTAATTGGAGGAAGACTTATTCCACTCCATTACGGATCTGTTTCTGTGTGATTAGAGGAAGACTTATTCTACTCCCTTAAGGCTCTGTTTCTGTTTGACCTTATTGGAGGAAGACTTACTCCACTCCATTAAGGATCTGTTTCTGTGTGATTAGAGGAAGACTTACTCCACTCCATTAAGGATCTGTTTCTGTGTGATTAGAGGAAGACTTACTCCACTCCCTGAAGGATCTGTTTCTGTGTGATTAGAGGAAGACTTACTCCACTCCCTTAAGGATCTGTTTCTGTGTGACCTGATTAGAGGAAGACTTACTCCACTCCCTTAAGGATGTGTTTCTGTGTGATTAGAGGAAGACTTACTCCACTCCCTTAAGGATCTGTTTCTGTGTGACCTGATTAGAGGAAGACTTACTCCACTCCCTTAAGGATCTGTTTCTGTGTGACCTAATTATGTGACCTGATTAGAGGAAGACTTACTCTACTCCCTTAAGGATTTATTTCGGTGTGACCTGATTATGTGACCTGATTAGAGGATGACTTACTCTACTCCCTTAAGGATCTGTTTCTGTGTGACCTGATTAGAGGAAGACTTACTCCACTCCCTTAAGGATCTGTTTCTGTGTGACCTAATTATGTGACCTGATTAGAGGAAGACTTACTCTACTCCCTTAAGGATTTGTTTCTGTGTGACCTGATTATGTGACCTGATTAGAGGATGACTTACTCTACTCCCTTAAGGATCTGTTTCTGTGTGACCTGATTAGAGGAAGACTTACTCCACTCCCTTAAGGATCTGTTTCTGTGTGACCTAATTATGTGACCTGATTAGAGGATGACTTACTCTACTCCCTTAAGGATTTATTTCTGTGTGACCTGATTATGTGACCTGATTAGAGGATGACTTACTCCACTTCCTTAAGGATTTGTTTCTGTGTGACCTGATAATGTGACCTGATTAGAGGATGACTTACTCTACTCCCTTAAGGATTTGTTTCTGTGTGACCTGATTAAGTGACCTGATTAGAGGATGACTTACTCCACTTCCTTAAGGATCTGTTTCTGTGTGACCTGATAATGTGACCTGATTAGAGGATGACTTACTCTACTCCCTTAAGGATCTGTTTCTGTGTGACCTGCCCACAGCAGCACGGTCCCTTCCTCACGTCCACAGAGTACACCACATTGTGACCACTGATGACCGATCCCTTCGTCTCCATGATGGAGGACTGAGTGGTGAAGTCCACAGTGTGAACTCCATTTACCTTTGTTGTAGACATGACCTGTTCTGTTAAATCTGTGTCATTTACCCCTGTAAAAACTGTGATAAGCAAACCAAGTTAGATGATTAATAGACACATGCAGAATGAAAAAAAGAGTTTGCGGAGCATGGCATGAGTTCTGAAGGGCCACTACAAAGTCCCTATGTGGGTGCTGGGCTAAGCCTTGTAGAACTTAGAAGGCAAAGGGGACAAAGCATCATGCATCTATTGAATTTTACAATAAAAGAATGATGTCTGTCTCAATAAAAACTTAGGCATGTTAAAGATGTTATGAAGGAAATTACTTACTTAGATGCAAAAATGAGCTAGCTCATATGGATCGAAGTCAGAGCCATAGCATAAGACTTAAATAAGGTCATTTTTAATCTGACTTACTTCCCCTTATGCTATCCATTAACTAGTACAAGTGAGATCAGAATCAAAGTGCATGAGCTCATTTGAAATTTTAAGGTCCCTGAGCTCAATGATGACCTGCACTTTTAACAAAATTAAATTTGGCATGTGATTCTGAATTATATACCACATATTTCATGACCGGAGGAACTTGGGGTATGGGAGCCACACCCCGCCACCCATCATTCAATAATTTTGCTTATATATAGACCATTATGGAAAACAAAGGTACCATGTACACTTAATTGTGCTCCCTTGATCAGTAAATAACAATTTTCATGATTTTTAAATGATGTTCTTTTTTTTGCTTGCATGTCAAGGAATTTTTGTTGGTTCATAGTGCCGCCAAATGAAAATGTATACGGCTGAGTGCCCCCAGGTCTATGAAAACTGAAATTGCATATCTTACCATGCTTACAGGCTATTCTGTTTATAGAAGTGGACAGGCTTGAAATCACCTACGTGGATGTAGTTGAAAGCCTGTCCACTTCGATTCTCTAAAGAGAATAATTACGGGACTGTGTGTTAAACATGCATTATTGATATACTCACAGATTTATATTGGTAGTAAAATTAAAAGAAGACATAAATCATGTAAATATGAAGAGAATCAGACCTATAAAGTTTATATAATTGGTATACATTGTATAGTTCCATGCCAGTTTCATAACATGCACATAAGGTTTGAACGTAGGAAAATCATAATCAGACAGTCACATTATCATGATTATACTGTATTTATTTATAGGCCCCATGCATGCCGTTTTCTTAACTATAAACAAAC